GTGAATCCCCGTCATACGATTTATCGCAATCGACACCGTTAGCGCGATTATTTGAAAAATTAACCGGTTTCTGAAAAAAAAAACTTATTTCAAAGAATATTTCTCCGCTTATCCCTTTGTTTATCACCAGCGAGAAGCAATTATTAAAAAAATATGCAAGAAATTGTTTTGCTTTTGCAATTTATCTCTAAAACCTTCGGCGTTTACAAATACTTTTATCTCAGTAATACGTACTTGAGCACTCAAACGTAAAACAAACGTACGATTTTGCGCAAATAACTTTTTTTATACCACATTATTTTATCAGGTATCTTTTAATTTCGTTTCTCTTTAACATTTCTGGCTCAACGATATTAAGCAGAATGTTCGATAAAATATTCTAGGTCGAACAATATTCAGCAGAATATTTATTGAAATATTTCTCTAATAATTCTATGTATCGGAATTTACAAATATAATATTTGCCTGTGCTATATCCATTTTTTATCTTTGAGAAAAACAAGATGTGCATCAATTTAACATATATATATACTGCAGCATCATAATTATACTCAAGGCATCTAATCGCATGACTTTTCAAAAAACATCATAAATAGACATAATCGAGAATAAATTATATCTCATAAGTCGCGAATCAAGTGCAAAAGTGTCAGCTAAAGTGACATCGTTTCTACGACGCCTTTTATCGCGATGATGAAAAATTGCGTCGAATTACGGAGAGGCAGATAAGCAGCAAGAATATTCCTGATAAAAGCGCGAGAATGGTAAACGACTTGCACGAAGGACGGCGACACGGGTCTAAACCGGATTGGTGACTGACAATGAGTAACGAAAATAGTGGAAGCGGCTGAGCAAACGGATTTCGACGATACCGCGATGAATTGGAATTCTTAATGCCCCGGAAGTCGCGTCATCCGCTATACGATCCGCTTCCGGTAGCAGACGGTGCTGCGTTCGCATAAACGAATTCCACGGAGATGTGTAAACGTTTCTAGAGAATCACGAGCGTCAGCTCGCGAAAGTTGTTTGTTTATGATAACATTTTACAATTGAGCTATATTGGATTATTTCAATTTTGCGCCTCTACATAGTGCGTTTTACTGCTCAATTCGCTGATTTTTTTTCTAAATCTTAAAATACGTCCCGAAGATACGACTGTCAAAATAAAAATATCAATTTTTGTTGCAAATTAAACAGATATGCTGAAAATTACTGATATAATGCCGTAATGAAGAATTATTTCGGCAGAAATGCAAGAGTCATCTTAAAGAAATATTTAACGTTACATTAAAAAGATAATTAAGAAGATTAATCGGCGTTGCGACATTTTATTATTATGTTACGTAAGGCGATAAATGCTACCCTCCGTGTTTTCGGCGAAATGTAAACAGGAAGGCAGATAACGCGTGTGTCTCTGCGGAGCGCAGAGTGAGATAAGTAGCTTTAAACAGATGCAGCGTATCTGTAATTCGATGCGCTGATGTAATTCGATCAGTTCAATTAAGGACGATAATTACGCGAGGGAGTAAAAAGATATACTTACGTCTACAAGTTGCACTTGAGACTTTGTTTCTAGATCGCTCATGTACTCGCTCGACGACGGCGAACGATCGTACTTTCGAGAGAACGCCTTGACGCGAATCGAAGAAAGGCAAAGCCCTTATTCGGCATTGAAGGATTAAGTCATTGGCGCGGTAAACATCACGGTCGGATCCGTGCCGTATAAAGAATCGTGAGATACACGCACGTGACGATAATCGAGCCCCGCTCTCGAGATAATACCGATGTTTATCAAGGTAACGACCGTATCCACCCCGATACGCCCCGTTCGGCTTACCCGTACACGATGTCCGCCTTTGTCGAGCGCTCCGGGAGCGAGAGATCTCTCAGCGTCGATTTGTTTGTCATTGCCGGCGTGGAACACGAAAATCCGGAAAAAGCGGATTTGCCGTGAATGGGGCGCGGAAAAAGCGGCTCAATGCGCCGGATGTGCACGGTAATGGATCGCTTTACAGCCGACTTCCGGGACCGTATTTTGCTTACCTGCTTACCGAGGGAACTTCTCAGCTAGCTGCCACTATGATTTCCACCGCGGATGCGAAGGGGCAAAAAGGTCCATGCAGCTGGTTTCCCCTTCGCGCTATTGACCGGTTCCCGTCCGGCCAAATAGCATAAGAACGTTTACCCCTTCGCTTCTTTCGTACGACGGAAGCACATCACGTATTTTCGAGCCAGCTTTGTCGGGAAAATATATCAAGCCGTAATCGTGGAACGTCCAAGTTTGGAGACCTGAAAAGTTTAAGATAATTAATAGTGTCTTCTGTCACACTTATCGGATTATTATCGTAATTCTTTTAAATCCGAATCTTTGCTTATTAAGAGAAAGAGATTTGAATAGATTCTATTCATAGTAAGTCGACGGGTAATTTACAAATTTTTAGTAGGAAAGTCTTGGAAACTAATGGCAGGAAGAAGGTTACGAAAACCACGTGCGTTACGACGAAACCAATTTACACTTTAGTGAGACAAACCGCCTCGGGATTTTTACGCGCATTGCCCAAGATGACAGCTTATTGCGACACAGAGTGCCCCTAAGGTGTTTCCTTTCGAGATCGAAGACCATGTTAATTTTAGATGACTAATCGCGATCGTCATTTATGTAGCACGTGTGTGACGACACATGTGAGTTCGTTGTCCTGTAAGCGTGAGTCTCTTACCGAAATGTCTATGTTTCGAAAGAACCTACATAACACTCAACGCGTTTATTTGTACAGTATATCGCGATATAAATATCTTTATATTTTTATCATAGCACCTTTTTTTATTATTATTATTCGAAATAATGCAATATATTTTTTATATATGTGTATAAATTTTAATCAATGTCAATTTTATTATAAAATATCAATAATCTATAGCGAAGAAAAATACTTAACATTCTTCTTTTATTAATAATTGAATTAAATTCATAATTATAAATTATACGATTATTGATAGCTAAAATAATTCATATTTTAATGCACAAGAACCGAGACGTTAGAATTTCTCTAAGGTAGTTTTTTTCCAAGCAGCGTGTACGCGTGTGACACTTGGTGACGCAAATGAGGCCATATTAGCGCCAATGTCACTGATGCAATCCACAGATGCATACAGACAGGTCATAATATTCGTCGCAATCGACGATAGAGAATCATTATCATCTCGCGCAAGAAATACTGCGGTTAATCGCGCCGTACATGTTCGGAATTATTCGTCTAATTACCTCGAACCGGAATCGGGGCGAGGTAATTAGACAAAGCGTTAGATCGCTTTTTCCCCTCCCTCGCGCGAACTGCGACGATTACGAACGCTGACAAGACGATTACGCAAGAGCGTGCAATTCCTTCGCGACTCGAAACGCAACGCGCGGACTCGCCTACGAGTTCCCACGGTGTTGAAGGTGTGCGGAGGTTTGAAAATCCAATCCTTAATTCGATAAATTTTGCTAGCGCCGCGCGAGGCAATGAGGTAACGTCGGCACACAATTATGAGCGTGTAAACACGCGCCGGTGCCGTGCCCTCACGCTCCCGGGTCGGATTTGGCAATCCGCGTACCCTCAGAATACACACCTCGGAAAGATTTGGCAACGAAAACACAACGAGAAATCGAAGGACCGCCCGCCGTGCCACGCCGGATTCAATATTTACCGAACCTGCGGCGTAAAGCCGTTGTGTTCTTATTGTTTGCTACGTGACTTCGTGAAAACATCTTTCTAAATAAAATAACGATTATCCACCGGATGGACTCGTCTCTCAGATCAATCTGATTGTGAATATCGTTGACAAACAGAATAACATAGCTAGAAAATAAATGAAGATAATAAAAGTAAATCCCAGATAATAAAAGTAAAGTTGTGATAACTAAAATCCTCAACATACACACAATGTACATTTGACTAGATTATTCATCCCGTTTATCCATTCTAAAGAAGAATAAAGTGTTTCCTGCGATTTAAATTCATATATTATAAGTAATTTTGTGAATGACACACATCGCTTTTTAGAATGTCATTACAGATTCTTTTACAGATGTTTTGACACATGAAATTTCTTTCTCGACATAAAAAGATAGTTTTAATATTATTGCGATGCTCGTTGAAAATGTTTTAAAACTATCGAATGTCTGCAAAAATATTTGACCTTCTCTTCAACTTCAATATCTCTTTCAATATCTCGCTTATCCAGAAGTCTCTTCAATATTTTTCTAACTGCGTGGCAATGACAGCTTTCTTTTTTTAATTTTTTTATTTCCACAGTTATCAGCTGCAGATTATTCTCAGCTAACAATAAAACAATCCACCGATGGTTTTCCATGCTTCGTCGATCGAAGGCTGCGGCTATTTAGGTCGCGGACACCAGCGAATTAACCGCTTGATCCTTCCGCTCTTGGATAGGTCCCCCTGACCTTCTCTCGCAACCTCTCTTTTCTCCTCAGCCTAACGCTTTTTGTCTCTTTATCACTTGTCGGCATCGCCATTGGTTGTCGTCACCGCTGTCGTATACATATACTATTGCGATGTTGTATGCAACACTGCATTACTGTTTAATTAATTGTATTAAATTATATTAATATTTATATATCAATATGAATTATACCAATATTATGTACATTAAATTACACTACTAATTAAATGAATAGAAATTCATTCCTCTCGAATTATATAAATATATAATATAATTCTAAAATCAAATATATTAATTAATATATAATATAATTCTAAAATCAAGAATTTATTTAAAATCTTTCTCATTCTGTATATATATGTCCAGAAATATAAAATTACGTTCACAATTAATTCCTCCATGAGAAAATTTTAATGGTCCCGCTTTCTTTAATATTTCAATTTTAACATTTTAATCGAACTATATTAAGTTACCGTTCGGAATTGCCGAAGGCGCTCATTCATCTCCAAATCAATATACCCACATGTAACAACGTCCTCATTCATTGCGTGTTGCAGATTTTTCTGTAAATACGAAATGACCGACGAAGCCGGCGGCGAGAGGAACGGCGTGAAAACGGATCCGGGCGCTATCAGACACGGGAACTTCATAAATTATTACCAATTCCATCCTGCGGAAGAGCGCGTGCGGCAACTTCCGCGTGGCGTGTGGCAGCGGCGGCGGGTCGCTCATCCGGCCCGGAAATACGCGGGTCTAGACGTCGGCTGTAACGCCGGGGTAAGAGCGGTAGCGCAGCTGTCGGTGGTCTGGGCCAGCCGAAACGGGATGGTCTTCGTGATCCGAAACTACAAACGGCGCGTCTAATTCTGAAGTTATCCTTTTTCAGGTCGCTCGCACAGCAGGCATCCGCTTCCGGGATCCTTTGTCCCCGTTAGAAGTTCATCGCGCACACTCGCTTTCTCCTTTTCTATTAAAGCTGACGCGTTTTCCTAATTATACGAAATGCCTCACAACTGTCGCGTTTCCTTTTAACCGCAGATCACTTGAATAATTCGAGGCGGAACTCCGCCTATTAAGAAAGCATGACGTTAACTAATTCACTTAACTACTAATTTGAATTTAAAAATTATTGTAGATGTATTGTCTAATCAAGTCTCAAGCGCGACAAATCTTTATTTTTCAATTAATTTTAACTTGAGCAAAATTCAGTTCAAAATTGTTTTACGATATTCCAATTTGTTTAATACTGATAATGGAGAAGTATTGCGAGAAATTGCGATTGCTGATCGAACTTACTCGATTGATAACTAAATTTAATTTGCAATCTGTGACTAAAAAGAAACGCACACCAGACTTTATATATTTATATTTAATTTTATGCACGATTGTTTGACGCACACGTTTTCCAGGACCTCACGTACACTCTACACGACTTCCTCGAAGAGGCCTTGCTCCAAGATCAGCCTGAGATCTCCTTAATCGGCGTGGATCTGGACCCAACCCTGATCGAGAGAGCGCGCGAGCGTAATCCGCGCCCGGATCGCGTGACCTTCGAGTGTCTGAATTTTTTGTCCGAAGACTGCGACGAGACGCTGAGGGGGTATCTAGCGCAGGTTCACAAGACACGATTCGACGTGGTGTTTTGTTTCTCTATCACTATGTGGATCCATCTGAATCACGGCGATGACGGTCTGGAGCAATTTTTGCAAAAGGCATGCGATCTAGCGGAAATGATCGTCATTGAACCGCAGCCTTGGAAATGTTACAGAAACGCGTCGAGAAGACTGCGACGAGCGAAATCAGAGGACTTTCCACTATTAAAGGAATTGAAATATACCGGTGATCCGATGAAGCATATAGAGGACATTTTGACGAAGCGGTGCGATTTTCAAAAAGTCACAATCACCGAGGGCAACGATTGGGGACGCATGCTTTTGATTTATGAACGGAAACAGCAATCTTAGAACATTAATAAATTAATGAATATGCATTTTCTGCACAAAAGCCGATTTCCCTCGTTGTTTAAAATGTATAACGCTGTAGCAGACAATTTGCTCACTAAGAGAAAAAAAGAAATTGGTATATTATTATCATAATGAAAATATGATAATGTATTTGAAAAAGTAAGCATGTATCCATCATATAATTTTCTAATTTATTTTCTATTCTATATTGTATTAAAAATTATAATAGAACGTAATTTATATTTATGTAATTCATATTTTATATTTATATTTATAAGCTGTATAAGTAAAATAAATTTTGCAAATAAATGTAAAAAGAATGAAATCTTCAAAAGATATACTAAATATTTTTAATTTATAACATCAAGCAGTATAATATTATAAACACACACACACACACACACAATTATTCTCTCAAGAAACAAATTTCAAACAATGATAAAACATTCAATGATGATAAAATAGAATAACCGGCTGAGTTATTGTTGCAACTGGTAAATCAAGGATCGTGTAAGCAATGCGTGAGATGGCAGCAATAGCGTACTAGCAGCGCTAGTTTGTTCGCTCATGTCATAACGATCGAAACTCAACAACAATAACAGTACGATATTAACATGAATTCTGCAAGTAAGGTATGTATATAAAAATTCTTACCAATGATTCTTGACATTTTTCCGCCTCATTATACTCATATTTCGTGCTTCAATTTTTTCGCTATTCATATGCAAGTAATATTAATGTGAAATTATATTGAAAAGTTTTCAAATTTATTTTGCATCTGTACATTATAAAATAATTCAGTTAATATGTTGAATACATGCTATATAATTTTATCAAGTATGCTACATAAATATGCCACACTTAAAGCATTATAGTTCATACAAGTAAAGAAAGAAGAAAACATAATGTATCTTTAGGTTAAGTCAGTTACATCAATAATGTTGGGAAATCGTTAAAATTTTCTTATATTTGTATTATATCTACAAAACTAGTGCTGTAAAAAGAAGAAGTCTCAGAGATTAATATTCTTGATGTTATTTATAATATAAATAAAAGATATTTTACTTAGCATGATAATTTATATAATTTTTAGAAAGAAAAAAAAACCATTTATTTTAGGTAGGTGAGATCTTCACTGCTGCTGGTGTAGCCTTTAATAAGTTGGGTGAACTTACGATGCAATTGCATCCAACATCAGATTCAGTAGCAGGGTAAGTTAACATAAAATAATATTATTGTGATCTATAAGTAGTAATCTATGTAATAGTATTTGCATGATAAAAATATGAATTCTAGGCTTGGTACCAATAAAAATATTATGTAAGGTGATTGTTTGTTAGTGTATATCAAGGTGTTTTTTGATAGTGTATAATATTATTCAGGAATGGCAAAAAATACAAAGTAGAAGTGCAGTATCAAATTATTCGAGACAAAAATAAAATGTGATAATCAATTTTCTGCGTAATAAAAACTTCTAGAAAATATGTGGAAATTTTTGTATCAATTATTGTACCACATGTATTAGTCAGTCTTATAATTGCTGAATATTGTTTCCAAATGTTCAAAATTTGACTTAAAAAATCAATTAAAATGTTTATAAGAATAAGTACGGAAAGATATATTTAAAAAAAGTCTATATCAGTTGTGAGAAGTGACCACACTATCAGATTATAACTTTGTACAATTACTGTAGATCCGTTCTTTTCATAATTTCCTATTCTCCTGGGTGTATAGTAAATGGACTGAAGAGGACATTGAGATGCTTCGTCACTCAGTGAGAGCCTTCAGTGAAGAATTGAACAGAATAAGCGAGCACATCAAGAGTCGGACGGTGTAAGTTTTCAAAGGCTGCCTTTCAGAGGCAGTCTGTCCGAATCTTACAGCAATTGTACTGCTTTCAGATCACAGATTCGAACTACACTGAAAAAAAAGACGTTTGAGGAAGCCGGAATGTCTGTTAGACAACAGCAGATTCTTCCCCAGCAAACTCAACAGCAGACACTAGTTCAACAGCAACAAGTTGCAAAACAACAATCGACATCGGGAAATCAAAGCCTAATGGGAAAGTCGGCGGAAGTTACACTGAATATGCTGAACGCACCTGAGTCAGAGGTGGATGTCGAAGGACTTCATGAAGATTGCCAAGTAAAACTGGAATTTGAAGAAGGCGCTACTGAAGAAGTCACTAGTTAAGTTTAATTAACTTATCAGTTAAAATGAATTAAATAACTAAAAGTACCACATCCATTTTCTATCATCTGACTGTTCATCAATCGTTCGAATTTTAACTAGTTTTAAGAATCAATCACATTAGCTAATAAGTCACCTTTTTACAATAAATGTATGAAAATCCAATTTGATGTCACAATTTCACGTATGATACATTGAAATTAAGTTATATCCTTAAACTCCAATTTATAGATTTCAATCTGAAACATATTTTGTTAAACATTAAAAAAAATTTATTTTAACAAATTTTTAGAATAAAATCTTGAGAAAGTAAATAATTTATAAACAAGATTCAATTTTAATTTTAAGAAAGAAAAGTTACCTGACAATGAAATAATGATTCTTACGCATTAAGCTAATATTTTACAAAACTTACAGATTCAAATAATGATTTAATTTTATAAAAGAAAATGCTTAGCATAGAATTTTTATAAAACTAAATAAAACTGTTTAAAAAACTTGTATAATCATGAATTATTCTTTTTTAGCGCCTAAAAACGGTCCTGATAGAAAAATATTTGAGAATCCAGTGATTTTGTCTCGTCTTATTGGTATCGCATTTTTTTCTCGACCACATCCTTTCTAGTAACTTCGTTGCGTATGCGCAATCAATCCACATCGCGTTGCGTTGTATATGTCCACAGTGAATGACACATACGCGTCTGCTAACAAATTATCAACAATGACGGTCTTTGGCTGCTCAATAAGGCAGTTGAAGTAGTCGATTGGAGTTCGTTCATCGACTGTGGTCGTTGCTGATCCTGTTGTACAATCGTGCAATGTGAAAGTAAAAGTACGACTACGTCATATCGCGTCGTCGACAATTTTACTCTCTGAATTCGATATTTAGTGGTTGTGTCTTAACATTCCACGAACAACAAAGCAGCAGACCACAACAACAGATATGGAAGGAGACACAGCAGAGAATTCTGGCAGCACCTTAGATAGATCCGAGGACGAAATAGCTTTGCAAGGATGCTGCAGCCCCAAGAAAGCACCTTACCGATTTTTAGGCTTGGCGCTCATGTGTCTGCTTGGATTTGGTACGAATTGACGTAACTTCGTAGATGCGTGGTTTACACGATAGCGCGTCACTCCTTATCTGTCGCTATCGGAACAGTGTCACTGTTAAAAGAATGAGTTGCTATCGCAACGATGCAACAAACCAGATGCAAGATCTTATCTTATTGGTTCTTGCGAGATCCATTGTTGCATTTCTGAAATTCATAATTTATTCAAATATGCATTTCACTCTAAATAAACCGTCTAATTTTTTAATTTTATCATATTATTTCATTTATGTCATATTTTTTAAATATTTTTTTATATAAACATTTTTTTCTCTAGTGTTTAATGTACAAAAATTAAATAGCCACATTTATCTATATTTATAAAATATCATAGTAGCGATATTTAGTTTTTGCCTATTTTTTGTGCATTAATCAAAATATTATTCTGTAATTCAATAATTAAAATTTGATATGGAGAAAAATAAACAAGTAAAAAAGGACGACTTGGCAAGTTGAGATAGTCAAATCACATTCTGTGTATGTTTACTGGCTATATAGAAAAAAAATTGGCATTGCTTAGATAAGGTATATCATGAATGTTCTCTTTGTGAGTTTATCATTCTATTTTTCTCACCATTTGCTATGTCTTGTGTAAGAGACATTAGAACTTGACACATAATGAAATTATACATGCATAATCAGCATTCGTGCTGAATTATGAACATTATTTCTTTTAGCATTTCTAATTTAATTGATTGGAAAGATATACTGTTCTTTATGCGACATATTTCTTCTTTAAAAATATGCTTTTAAATTTTAATATAAATTTCTTTTGTTAATATTATAGTAATAACTTAAACCTATATATTTTTTATTTTAGGGTCATACTTTTGTTTTGACAATCCCGGAGCATTACAAGACAATTTCAAAGATGATTTAGGAATGTCCACTAGCAAATTTGTATTACTCTACTCTATATATTCTTGGCCGAATGTTATACTTTGCTTCATCGGTGGATTCTTATTAGACAGCGTCTTTGGAATTCGATTGGGTACTGTGATATATATGACGCTTACTTTGATTGGCCAGATTATTTTTGCAAGTGGTGCCATGATTGATGCATTTTGGCTGATGATGCTAGGTCGATTTGTTTTTGGGTATGTTCTTATCAAATTATACAGAATGTTTTAGCACTGTTGTATGCTTTTTATATAAAATCACAAAATAAAGGACTATTTCTTTTCCATAGAATCGGTGCGGAATCGTTGGCAGTTGCCCAGAACAGTTATGCAGTTCTTTGGTTCAAGGGCAAAGAATTAAATATGGTGTTTGGACTGCAGTTGAGCTTTGCGCGAGTAGGCTCTACTGTGAACTTTTTGGTAATGGAACCGGTATACAAGTACGTATCTCAGTACTACAAAGGTCCACAATGCATCGGCATAGTTCTGTTTCTTGCTGCCGGCACTTGCGTAATGTCGATGATATGTGCTTGTGTATTGGGTCTTATGGACAAACGTGCCGAAAGATTATTACGACGTGGAGAGGGCCAGGAACCACAAGCCGTCAGTTTGAAAGACGTCAAGGATTTTAAACCGATCTTTTGGTTGATCGCACTCATTTGCATCGCTTATTACGTCGCAATATTCCCTTTTATCGCTTTAGGAAAGTGAGTATAGCGATAGCGTAATAGCTCAGTACATTTCCAAGCTTTAGCTATATAAAATAATTTACTTTATCTTAAAATTAAAAATTAATTTTTATTCAATTTTATACTTATAACTTTACGTATTCGAAAAAAAAACTCAATTTTATTTTTCAGAGTTTTTTTCGAGAGGAAGTACGATTACGAGCCGTCCACCGCAAATACAGTGAATTCTCTTGTTTATTCGATATCCGCAGTAGCATCGCCTCTCTTGGGATATTTAGTGGACCGAATCGGCAAAAATGTATCATGGGTGTTTATAAGTATTTGCGCGACTATTCTCGCGCACGGATTGCTCGCATTCTCTTACTTGAGCCCCTACGCATGCATGGCATTGATGGGATTGGCATATTCCATGCTGGCCAGCAGTTTATGGCCTTTGATCGCTCTCGTCACGCCGGAGCATCAACTCGGTACCGCTTATGGCATGTAAGCATTTCTTCATCGGTCATTACCTGCAAAATACAATACTCAATTAGTAATAATCCACAACATCGATGTACAATTTGTTTTTGCAGAGCGCAATCTGTACAAAACTTGGGCCTTGCTGTGGTCTCGATTTTAGCTGGCATAATTGTCGACAAAGGAGGATATCTAATGCTGGAGATGTTTTTCCTCGGTTGGCTCTGGGGTAAATATTTTCATGAGTAAGCAATCAATGCGTTTAACACGGCGAAAATTTTTACGAATAATATATTGCTGTAACAGTTTCTCTGATAACCGCCGGTGCAATCTGGGTTTCGGACATTGCAACAAGCGGTGGTTATCTCAACATGACGCCCGGACAAAGAGAACGATATGAGTCACTTCGATGCACGCCTGAAAGTTTGGAACGAGAAAAGTTATTGTCGTCGGAATGCACGTCGGATTTTGTGCCCGATAATTTGATGCAACCGCAATCCGATATTAGTATACGAAATCGTTATTTGTCTCGTATTGGTGCAATGGTAAGTTTGCTTGATCCAATTCAATTTATTAAATAAAAATTACATTAGAAATGTTAAAAAATATAATATATGATAAGATAAATTATATATATAGAACTCTTTACACATTTAAAACAATTTTATTTTTATTTTATCACTTAACGTTGCTTGAAACAATTTCTATTTCAACGATATCTTGCGACTGAAAAGAAATAAATAATATTAATAGCACTTTTAATAAATCTTGAAATATTTCAGGTACCTCCACATGCAGTGACGCCTATTCATCGACCATTACGATAATGGGTTTGATTTAGCTACAAATTTATGATACAAATAGATGTGTAAAAGTGCTTTTATTCTTCGTCGAAGTTTCTGCTCACTGTGTCTTCCTGTTACACACAGCTTAATCTGTGATAATTTCTTAAAGCAGTCAACTTCGAAATTTCTTTTTCACAATTGAGAAATAGCATTTTATTTATGAGTCTCGATTCGTACAATTCTTATAATTCATACAATTATGTATTTTACATGAAAAAAACTTTTCGTAACTCTTATGACTAGCATTATAGCATAGTTATTCTTTCTGAATACTAGCGAATTACCTTTACCTCTAATTTAGAGAACAAATGTTGTGGGATTACTTTTTAATTAATAAAATGTGTGACATGTACTATATCTTGATGTAATGTTGAATAAATGAATGTTCGATGCGATTGTCGTCTCGTTTTTATCATTTTAATAAAATAATAATCCACATTCCTTATTTTTTACTTTACTAGACACACCAGCATGCGCTGCGTGCGCCATTTCTTTCAGTTACAAAGAAATATATAACTATACTTTTAATAAAAATAATATTATAATATCACTATTACTTATATATTATTATATTATTATTATATATTATATTTTTATTCATTTTTAAAGCAGATGCTTTTAATAAAACAATTATATAATTGAGACACTCAGTTCTAAAGTGCAATATTTATATATTATCGAGATAAATTTGATTTAAAATTAACTTGTTCCGATTAGTTCTCTGATTGGGCTATCAAAGGATTTCTCATTCAGCACTGTTACAAAAAATTGAACTTAAATTAAGGTTACGACCTCAGAACTTCAGCTGTATTAATTAAGGCAAGAATCGAATTAGAACTTAAAATTTAAGACTTGATTCACTTTGAAACAGAACGTCTCAACTATCAGTAAAAAATTTTTAATTTTTAAAGATATTTGCAATAATGATAAAAATTAAACTACATTGGGAGTAATTAATAATTCTAAATAATAATTATTGTAATTATTTTCTTAAATATGCTAAGCATCTCGAATTTTATAAGTATTGAATTACACAATGATGCAAAATATTACGTGATTTGCGCTGTAACAAACAATATTCTATCTTCAAATAAGAAAATAACACACTCTCTTGTGATTTATTTATTTGTATTATGATGAATGTATTATGTATCGCATGGACGTTTCTCAAACCAGTACAATTTTAAAATTTCAATTCATATATTTCACTGACAATTAATGTATTACATTTCAGAGACTTTTACAGAAGTTATAGTAATACATATATAAACACAAAAAATACCAAATATACATAAAAATATTAATATTGTATATAATATTTATATTTGTATATAATATTTAAATTAAATATATATATGATAAATAATACATATTACATATATATAATATTTAAATTAAATATATAAAAAATTAAATATTTGAAATTAAATTCTCGTCGGTATTTTTACAAAAGTCCTTACAGAGACAAAAGTTTTTACAGAGATTATAGTTTTTACGATAATTATTTTATTAAATCATTTCAATTTATAAATTTATGAACATAATTTATCAATTTAAAACATAATATATAATAATATTTATAATTATAGTTTATACATTTATATATTTTAAAAAAATTTAATATATTTAAAAAATGTAACTTATTGTTCTACGAAACATAGATTTAAATATATAATCATATTAATAACTATATAAACATAAAACAAATAATTATACGTCAGATTAAATCATCAAAATTAAGACTACCATTATTGCTGGTTATGATGCTGAGTTGAAGGCTGTTCCTATCATTAGCATTGTTAATTTCTGGATAAATCTATATAAACATTTATAACATTCATATGAAAAATAAATTGTTTGATATTTGCTGTGATTATTATATTGTATATATTTAATAAATTAAACGCGATTTGAAAAAAGTGAAAATTTTATTATACATAACAATATTAACGATATTATCAATAAAACTTACTGTCATTTCTTATTCGGTTTAGCTGGCTTGTCCAATGATGTTCTTTAATAGGATTATTTGAATGAGTTCTAATAGGAACAGATATGTGTTCCTGTAACAATTATTACACTCTATTTCAGAATCATCTCTTTTGGTACAATATCTCCTCCATAGCCAACTATAAAATGTATATTTTTTTAATTGTTTCTTAGAATTTCTTACGAATCAACTGTGTCGTATATTTCTTGTGTATTTTTCCATTTATTCAAATCTGTCATTTTTACGTGAACGTTGACGATCCAGATGAGTTTGAGAAAGAGATAAATTGTTCTGGCAAATATTACACTCCATCACAAAATTATCTCTTTTTGTACAATATTTCCATAGCCAACTATGGAATGTATGTTTTTTTAATCGTTCTTTAGAGTGTGAGCGTAAGTAATCTTCTAAGTTTTCAGATAAAAATAAAAGTTTTCAGATAAAAATAAAAGTTTTCGACCCAAATAATGCATTTCAAAGTCTTTCAGTTTAAATATTTAAAATATGTTCTCGATACCGTGTAAACTTCCATATATTTCTTCGAGATTAAAAATCTTTCTATGTATTCTTTTTATATGTAATGTCCAAAGATAGATATTTCGATAACAATACATAACGATCTTCTGGTGACATAGACATTGTATCCGTTGATGAAACGCGTTCTGACGAACCATCTGTGTCGTGTGCTTTTTGTGTATTTTTCCATTTATTCAAATTTGTCATTTTTATGTGATGATCCAGATGAGTTTGAGAAAGAGCTAAATTGTTGTGACAAATATTACACTCCATCACAAAATTATCTCTTTTTGTACAATATTTCCATAGCCAACTATGGAATGTATGTTTTTTTAATCGTTCTTTAGAGTGCGAGCGTAAGTAATCTTCTAAGTTTTCAGATAAAAATAAAAGTTTTCGACCCAAATAATGCATTTCAAAGTCTTTCAGTTTAAATATTTAAAATATGTTCTTGATACCGTGTAAACTTCCATATATTTCTTCGAGATTAAAAATCTTTCTATGTATTCTTTTTATATGTAATGTCCAAAGATAGATATTTCGATAACAATACATAACGATCTTCTGGTGACATAGGGCGGTATTCATAGTCCGTTCTTATATTCAAGATCGTCTTAAGCACGAACTTATATTCGCTCTCTTTGTCAGACACAATCTATGTGTGACGAAGAGAGCGAATATAAGTCCGTGCTTAAGACAATCTTAAATATAAGAACGGACTATGAATACCGACCATAGACATTGTATCCGTTGATGAAACGCGTTCTGACGAACCATCTGTGTCGTGTGCTTTTTGTGTATTTTTCCATTTATTCAAATTTGTCATTTTTATATGATGATCCAGATGAGTTTGAGAAAGAGCTAAATTGTTGTGACAAATATTACACTCCACCACAAAATTATCTCTTTTTGTACAATATTTCCATAGCCAACTGTGGAATGTATGTGTTTTTAATTGTTCTTTAGAGTGCGAGCGTAAGTGATCTTCTAAGCATTCAGATAAAAATAAAATGTTCTCGTCACAAATAATACATTTCAAAGCCAATGAGTTGAAATATTTAAAATATTTTCTTGACCATCCGTGTAAGCTTCGGAATTTTTCTTCTAAATTAAAAATTTTTTTATGCATTTCTTTGATATGTATCCAAAAGTTGAACGTATCGATATAACAATCTTTTGGTGATAGCGTGTTTGTTTCAAGTGATAGAACGTGTTCTGACGAGCCAGCTGTGTCGTGTGTTTCTTGCGCATTTTGCAATTTGTCCGGATGTTTCATTTTTATATGATAATTCACACTAGCTGAAATAGAAAGAACTACATTGTTGTAACAAATATTGCACTCCACCACAAAATCATGTTTTTCTGTGCAATATTTCGATGGCCATCTGCTAAGTGTATGATTCTTCCGTTGTTTTTCGGAATGCGAATTTAGGTGACTTTTTAGAGATTCAGATGTAGACAGAACATTTGTATCACAGATTATACATTGTAAATATAATTTGTCTAGATACTTGAAATACATCCGTTCGTTGGAGTTTTTTTTTTTTTTTTCATATCTCCAAATTCTTTTGTGATGTCTTGATATATGTAATCCAAAATTTGAAAGGGCTAAATAGCTATTTTTCTTTCCACAAAACCTGCATTGCACTTTAAAATCCGGTAGTTTCGTATAATCCTGTTTTATATAAAATTTCCACATATGCTTTTTAATTATAGCACTTTCTGTTTGAGACATTGTGTCCGCCTAAAGTAACTGAACGAATATAACTAAATTCGATATGAGAAGCTTTCTATACTTTTCGAAAAGTATAAAAGAGGGTAAAAGGCACAGATATTTATCCATTTGAATGTAAATATTGATACGTCGGCTAAACCTAGCTAACAATTCTCAAACACGACATTTCATGCTGAGTGTATGTAATAATAACATTTCAACGAAAAAGACGTTACAGCATATCCTTCACAAATATACTGTTTTGTAAGAAATAACACAAATAATATATTATCTACATGTATGAAATAAACCTATTCTCAAGTTATGATTATATTAGAGATACACATATTTTTTCGAAATTATATACATTCCGCTAAATGAAATCCATATACTGCAGAAATAAATACATTGCAGTATATTGCAGAAATAAATAGATATGATTGATTGATTGCATAAAAAAATTATTATGTGTATGCATTCATCTACCTGATTTATTTTCAGATATGGCATCATCAACGTCGACTTCTTTTTTGCAAGATGTTCAGAATTATTGATTTGAATTTCGAATTACATCTCTATTTTTATTTGCTCATCAACAACAATTTTTAATGCTTTAGATTTAATCTTGAATATTCATATTAAAATGGAGAATGTTTTAATATTTTTTACGTTTGAATATCTTTATCTAAAACGCACTTTGACAGTTATTCGTTTGCGTACAAAAATAATTTCTTAATAATATAGGATATATTGAGTGAATGTGCAGGAGTTTAGATGAATTTCGTGATATATAAATGGATTAAGTTAAAAAAAATAACAATATATAATTAATATAAATTTTCAAATACAATTAATTATAGATTTCTACATTAGCAATTTTTTATAAGCAATAAATCTGCATTTTTAGGGCTCTTAAGCTAATATTTCTGATGTCTTTGCTAAAATAAAATTTTTCTTATAAATATATAACGAATTATTTGTTTACTATCAACAAAATTAATAATTTATTAACAAAATTTCGCTTATTTAGCAGTTGCATAAGCGTTGTTTTCCAATTGCTGATTAAACGTAGTCGCTGCGTAAAAACAAGTTTACTCGAGTTTATAACCAAAGTGACTGTTTGAAAAACGTGCGTGTAACGAAGACGTCGCTGATGCAGCGAGCCGTGGAGAGTGAAAAATGGCCGCAAACGTGAGAACAGGTGAGTGATAATGTAAAGAATTGTTAGTGCTGTCGCAATCGCATTCTCGTTTACGATTCCGTCCGAGATATTTCCGCTTCGGAAAGCCGAAGTGACGGTACGTTCTGTCGTGTACATTTTTTCATCTATCCAGTTTCCACGATAGTGCTTGCTGCCCAGCTCGTCGCAGCACTCTCACTTCTCTCGGAAGATTCCTCGAAATTCTCTATAATTATCAGCGACCGAGATAAGGCGTGCCACGGCACGACGTCTCTGTTATCGTCGCGTTATGCTCCGATAAGTGGGCGTATACGCGCAGCGACACCGGCTGTGCGTCAACGAATCGTATCGACGACGCATATCCGTTCTGCATCTGTCATACAACGTGCACTTTGTTTTGAGGGAGTTTTTCGCCGTTGACTGAGATCGCGCGCGCACGCTTGTTGTGTGAGTGCGCGTGAACGCGGGCGTACCAGCGTGTGCGAGGAACGGATCGCGCATTAGACATCAGCTGCGTTCTCTGATCTTGTTTTGTGTCGTTATACTTGCAGACATGCGGATACCGACGCGTGCGGCGCCTCGTCCACCAGGCCAAAGTGCGACGCAGAGAGACCTAATTTGGAACAGCAGGTAGGTTATCTTTTTATCTCCTTATCTGTGTAATCTTGATTCCCCGGAGAACGTTTCTGGGAAGTTCTATCAAACATTTTCACTTTCTGCAGCTTGGCTGTGTCCTTCTCTGTGATAATACTATGTCCTTGTGTGCTTTCAGCAATGACATATTCGGAAGCACTCTGATGGCGCAACCTGTACAGAAGAAAAAGCCACCTCCCCGACCACCACCTCCTAAATTTAATCAGAATCATATCACTCAATATCAAAAGGATCAGAAACCGAGGAAACCAGTAAGAATTTATACAATTTGTCCATAGATTTTAATGCAGTGCAGCCTCTAAGAATCTTTTTTAAGAAACTGCTTGTTTATATCAGTGAAACATGCATTGCATTAAAGATACTAAAAGATTGTATCTGATATTTGTGTGAAAATGAAGTAAATCATGATTTGAAATGTGTTATTCGTTCAATTCATGGCAGTTCCAAGCGATTCCAAGCAGTTGAAATTATTTTTTAATTGCAGTTTTGAATTGACTTTCTTTCTTTCATTATTATTTTCAGCAGATTATAAATATATTTCACTCTGTGTGCTAGGCTAGGCCGACAGAGCTGCTGACTAATTTCTTCGGTCGGAAGAAGCAAGAGAATCCTTTCCCACCACGCCCCAACAGTCAGTTACACAATCCACTGTCTACAAACTCGATCGCAGCCGTGTCCTTGATAGATCTCAGTCCGCCTGGATCGCCGACGTTCACGACTCGTTCCAGCAGTGATGGAGTTAGCGTCGACAGTTTTGGTAGCGACGGAAACTCCAATCCCTCTGTATTCACAAGCAGCGGCAACACATCGCAAACGGAAAGTGCCTTTGAAGATGACTTCGACTTTTTTGGTCTGTCTGCCAAAAAGATAGCACAAAACGATCCATGGCAAACTAAGGCAAGAGTGCAGGATCCGTTCGGACCACTGGAGGATGCGTGCTCGAATGTGTCTCAAAGTGCTGGTGGCACAAATCTCTTTTCTCTTAACTCCAACAATCGTGTGACGAATCAAGTGCCTTCCAATCTGATCACTTCTAAACCTCTCGTCACGTCGATGCCCACGATAATCCGAGCGAGACCACCCAAACCGCCAGCGCCGAAGTTACCAGCGAAGAAGCTCGAACCGATAGCCGCGGCAGCGTGTGTCGACTTCAAAACTTTAAGCAGCAACGTAGCAGCGAAGAAACAATTGACCTTGGATTTCTCTAACGCATGGTCCAACGATTTCGAGGGAAGTGACAGTCCGTCGCCGCCTATGCCGACGATTCCACCACCAGCACCGCCTCCAAATTATTTGGCAGAGTTAAACAACGATCTTGAGGTGAGTATTGCAAATCGTGAAATCTGTAAAAACATATTTGTTAACGATAAATGTAATTTGCAGGACAAACCTTATGGCGTCGCGCTGTTCGACTTCCCGGCGACGCATTCAGATGATTTACCGTTGAAGGAAGGCGACGTTGTGCAACTGGTGAAAAAAGTTAACGATGACTGGCTGGAGGGAAGAATAGGAATTCGTCAAGGAATCTTTCCGCTTAGTTTTATTGATATTAAAGTACCTCTGCCAGGCTTACCGGATAATGTAGTTACGGCGCTTTATGGATTTCCAGGAGAGAGCAGTGATGACTTGTTATTTGAGGTACGAAGATTTCCAGCGAAATCCAATTAGACGAAAGAATCTATTGTTATGTATAATATTTCTGATATTACAGGAGGGTGCGAAAATCACAGTCATATCGAGGATATCAGAAGATTGGTTGTACGGCGAATGCAACGGTAGAAAAGGACAATTCCCAGTAAATTACGTAAATAGACTTCCGCATAATATTTAAATGTCCTCTCGATGAATATTTTCTATGAAATTAACAATTAATATCAATAATTAATATTAATATTAACAATTAATATTAATGATAATTATTATATATTAATATTAATAGTTAATTAATTTTTGAATAAATAATATCAACAATTCATTATTCCGAGAGCCTCCATATTGCAAACATTATTTAGGATTATTTGTCATATTTCTACAAATCAATATTAAGATTAGTGATAAAAAGAAAGTGTAAATGTAAATCGTTTGTAGTTGAATTTTTATCACGTACAAATCGCTGAAAAAAATGCAAATTTTAGAAAATTTTACTAACAAAAAGACTGAATTAATAATATACGATTTTTTATCGTCGTGTTCCAGTAGAAATAAACTGCGGAAAAGTAATTGTGGTATTACCTTTAGGAATTAGAAGATAACTTTCTGCGATATGTCGGTGATACGTCTACAACATATTAAACATACTTTTTCTAAAAATTTCGCACCTTGTACTGTTTGCAATATTCTGTAAAAGATGCTGCTACTATCATGTTTCTTTCTTCTTTCGAAATTTTACATTCAATTGAGAGATTAGGTATGATTAAATCTTGTACATTTTTCATTTTCATTTTCCATTCTACATACTTTGCGTAATTAAGATTTCACTTGAAAATTTACTTAATCTTTCAACACTTCAAAATCTACTTTGAAAATTTTATTTACAAGGACATCTCTCGTGAAGATATATCTGAAATTTTATTGTCTAATTGTAAAATATATATACAACAAATTATTTAAAGGCAAAGATTGTTGATTTACACATTATTAATGTTGGTTAATGAATAAATAATTTTGGTAGCTTTTAAAATAAAACGCTTTGCTTTCTGTGTTATTTGAAGAGTTATCTGATTCTTGATAGTCAAATTTAATTTAGAAATTTTTAGCCTAATAGTGCAAAGTTATATGCTGTAACTTTTTGTTGTATATATTCAAATCTAACTTAATGCACCTAAAACTAAGAATTTATTTGATACATCTTCCCTATTTATGCACTATATGTATAGATCGATTTTCTTTTAACAATAAATTATGAATTAACAATAGTTATCTCTGCATATATAAATAAATATGTTGTATGTTTATATTGTACCATATACACGTGTATTTCGTTTAATTTAGAATTTATTTCTATAAAAGTTACCAATATAATAATGGTACAGCTGTAAATGCGTGTTGCGTAAGTGTGTAATGGGGGGTAATGATATAGTTTAAGCACTTATTCATTTAGTCTACGTTTAAGATAAGTAAATATACTTGCGCTTATGCGAGTTATGTAATTATGCTTGTTAAAACTTCAATTTGGTATATGTGTGCATTGAAATATATTAAAATATTTCATTGTGCACAAATTTGTCGAGTCAGTTTGTCAATAATTAAATCTTAATTTAACAAAAAAATCTTACTGTATTAACGAAAAAAAATCAATGATTAGCTTTGCATCACCTTAAGTTATTTTATATAGATATTAAGAGTTGCATAATCTTTCATTGTATATCTTAATTTACTAGAAATTCTCATTAGCACAGTATTATCATGATATCCCAGTTACATCGAAGGTCTGTTTTGGGACCAGGAACCTAGTTTGTAAGACGAGATTAAGAAAGGCGAGTGATAATAGCAAAGTTGCAAATTATTAAACCAAAATGTAATAACGAATCCTCTAAGTGTAATTAAATTGCTATTTAATTCTTAACGACTATGCTATTATGCAAAATAACGCCTAATATACAATGTGATATTTTGCAATGTTTATTGTGTAAACATTTCTTGTGTATACAAAATAAACTAAAAAAGAAATAAATAAGTTTCTCCCGTACCTAAAAATTACTTCCAAAATTAATTAAAAAATGTAACATGCGTGTAAAGAAATCGTTCTTATGCAATAAAACGTAAATATCAGTAAAGTATGCAGTATTCCTACCGGAAAGAGCTTCTTTTCTAATGCACTGTGCTGTTGCAATTAGGTGATATTGCTATTTCCTTCGTTACCATTACTTCTCGCAACACTGTCGTCGATAAATTGTTTTCTTCGCATAATACTTCTTATCAGAAATGTAGTAGAAGACCGTTTCGTCGTCAAATATTTATGACAGTTATTGCATTTCAAAATATTTTTGTCGCAGAATAAATACGAGCTCGTATACTTTTTCAATGTTTGCGTTACGACACTTCTGAACTTCTTTCCTGTAAGGTAGTATAAAAAAAAGTTTATTGCAAAATTCCAGTGGTATATGTGAAAGAACAAGCCACGGCACCATTTGAGCAACATCTTCTCTTGCAACCTGAAAACAATGCGGTCAATATTATTATCGGCGTAATAATATTATTCACTCAAATATTTCAAAATACACTTTATAAATTTATGTTCGATTGAGTAACTGTGCAGTTATTTTACCAGTGCACGTATTGTTTGTTCTCCTCTGCATCTTTCGCGGGGTACTTAATGAAAACGTCCCAGTAGAGTCCCAATGTTTCGACAATTCCGAGCGGCAGCAATAAAATTAAATGCACTATCGATACCGCGAGTAACGTCCTACTGGAGTTGTGCGTTCTATTGCTCTTGTATCTGAAATTATCTGAAGGAAATGTCGCTCTTGAATCTCTCGTAGCTACCACATTGCGTAAGTAATAATCGTAATCGACTTACGAGTCAATTCGTTGTGAATTTTGTAAGATTTTCTCATACGAATAATCAATAGCAAATTGCCGATGGATATAAAGAGCAACGGTAACCACGTGGACAAGGCGATGTAAAAGTACATGGCACCGCCCCACGGTTTTATCTTTTCCTGGCACGGCACAAATTCAAAGACGCTGTCCGTTTCGTATCCTATAATTAGCATAATTCGTAAAATTCGTTATCGGGGAGAATAATAATATGTAGCGCATGATGATAACGTAATTGAATTGCAAATCGCGGGAGGGAAGAGAAAAAAAGCAATTTAAATATATGGGATACACTTTACCGCCAGAGTACAACTTCGTTAAAGATATTATAAAGCTTATGCATATTAAAGTGGTGATAGTTATAACTGCGGAGCAATTTTGGTAACCACGAGCGCCGAATGGAAACATAACAGCGATGACACGTGTCCACGTCAAGGCAACGACCAACCAAGTCGACGTAAATTGAAAAAGCTCCATGCTCACGGAATTCGTGCCGCATAAGAACCTGCTGTTCTGAAGGAATATTATCCTTAATATCACATAATTATTTAAAATCCCACCCCCCCCCCTCCTTCCTGCTATCAAGGACAATTTTTTCTAATAGTTTGAAATGTATCTTAAATTATTTTTTTAAAGCGTTTTACAATATTATAAATATGCAAACAGAATTAATAAAATAAATAAAGTAATAAAAACTTAATAGGGCTATTATATGTAATCTGAGTGATGTAATAAAAAAAAGAAATGTGTCGCAGCAGGAGGTTTGGTGATGCAAAACTGTTATATACCCTCGATATTTACCATGAAAAGATCATTAACGAATGTGGAGTGTGATTTGCCACGCTGACGGCGTAATTGAAAATTAATGCACCATTGTCCGATATAGCGAGCGCGCTTAGATAAAGTGACAAATTGGAGTCACATAGCACGGGTGTGCTCAACATACTAAAAGATACAGTATTTAGCAATACACCTATACGAAGCGGAGTATTATAACTTTGTATGAGAACAGTCAAAAATTCTATACTGCGCAATGACATTTCTTACCGAGTATTATAATAAACGGCGTCACGTAGCGGAGCAAGAAACGTACGAATTTGACAAACGGCTGCAACGACAGCCAGTAAGAGCGCACTTCGCACGGCCATTTGATTTCTAAACCCGGTTGAGATGAATTATGAATGAAATCCAAAACTGTTATGGGGGGACATTTTGAAACAATGTGCGTTCTGAAATGTAAAAGACATGCACAAAAAATCCATAAAATACGTATTATATAATTCTTCATTCTTTGCACTGATTTTCATAGGGCCACAAGTTAGATGATAAAAAATCATGATATTCTTTTCCTTACCTAGAAATGTATGTTGAGGGAAGCTGCTTAGAATCCACTGATTGCAGTATATTCACGATAAGTATCAACACTCGAATGTCTCTATTACGCAGCAAAATCATTTTGCACTAATAATAAAGAACTTAAATTCGTGACCAGTCTGCTACTACGTCTGAAGAAGAGTTATCTGGCCCGTGTAGCACAGATAGCACTAACAATGGGGCTCCTTTAATTAGAAGCTGCGGAGCATCTGTTGTCGATTATCATAACGTGACGTAGAATTCTAATTAACATTTTGTTTGTATTACTTATACGTTGCAACATTGCAGAGTACATTAACACCAATTGAAATGAGGATATTTATTCGATTAAAATGTACCTCGTGTTTTTAATCCGGTTAGCAGGAAAAGTCTGCGTTACTTCGAATTACATTGCGAATAAATAGGTCTTCATCTCCATTCGATTAATTACCAACTGTTTCGAAAATCTTCTGATGGGATTAGCAAGCTTAGAATTCGACGATTATATAATTGTAAAACTTTATTTTCAAACTGAAAAACAGTTAACACAATTACACAAATTTACATGACTAACGAAAGATATGCGAAAAGGATAATCAGCGGAAAATTAGTCGTCATATAAGAAATTGCATTATATCAATCGTTAATCAAAAGCTTGAAACTTATATACGTATACATTTGTCATATTTCACACCATCGCATCAAACGTTGTAATACTCTAACTTCTATCTGTCGCGAATTGATATGCTATTTCGATTCACCGTGTTATCTTGTGCAACGATCTCGCAAATTCGCAAATATTATTTTTATTTATGCGTCATATATATATATATATATATATATATATATATATATATATATATATATATGTATATGTATATGTATGTATAGGAACCACTCTCATTCTATACAAATATATTTCTTAACATATATTATTAACATATAATATTTACATTTATGATTCACACACAAGTTCACGAGTGAAAGGCACATGTTGAAACCATAATAGCTTGACAATAATTTCACTATTTAGCCGCTCCTGCGTCAAGAATGCGTTGCAACTACAATTCTTCTATCGGCTTGAAAGTGTTATGTAAATAAATGCTTTGGCAAGTTACACATCTAATATAATGTAATTAATGTACAGTTTAATGTAATGTAACATGATATGCGATGCTTTGTGATTCATTCGTACTGATTAATTTGTTGTTAATATCTTATCATGATACGTTGCACAAAAAATATTCAACCTGAAATCATGACGAATCAAAATTCAAGATCTTCAACACCAAATCGAAAATTTAAATTTCCCAATAATTATTATTCATAACATTTCTCTTTTATCTATCAAAAATATATTCCTTTTCTCTCTGATGGTTTGCCATTTTATCATCATTATTGTATATTCGCTCACTATACATTCCATGAATTATTAGTTCATTTATATTATTTTTACATTGGTATAACTTGGCATAATGTCGGTTTATATAAACCCGTCCTACTGAAAAAATACTTCCACTCCTTCAAGTGTGATATATTCGATCTCTTAAGTAATAATAAATGAAACAGATCTAAAATATAAACCAATTTTTCGGATAATTGGTCTTCATGCGATATACATCTGTTTTCATAATGCCGTACAAGTGTACATCAATGGACACTCATGAAAATGTGCGATGCACTGAATGATATGAGCAAAGAATCTTTATCGAGTAGTGTGATGCTATGATATTTCTTTTCGTTCGTACATCCAACATGTATATAATACTAGCTGAGCTTCTCTATATAAAACACAACGCGAGTTGAAAAATAGTTTCAGACTGCAGACGTGTGTACTTGCTTAAAATGCACGATTTCTTTGTGTGAATTGTTTTGTTAACAAACTAACTGCTCGATAAATTACGCGTAAACATCGATAATCTATATCTACATGTAAACCATGTAAACTATGTATTGCCGTGTAATCTAGACAGACGTTTTGTGAGCAGATAACTTGTTACTTTCCTCTTTGTTTTCAAAATAAGATCTTCCGTCTTGGAAAACTACATTTAACTTTATACTTATTTGTTTTACATTGCAATGAACGACATGCAATTAATTTGATAAAAGTATGTTCGTTAATTAATGCCAATTATTTCTTGCTCCGATAACATAATACTACATTAATCTATATAAAAAATATTTACAAAAAAGAATGTTTTTTTACAGAGTTTACATAGTTTGCGGTCTATGCGAGGAAAAGATCGTGTAAATTTTCATGTGTAAACATGTATGTAAAGCTATATAGACTTAATTAATTTTTTAGCATACCTAATATACTAACAGTATTCTAAAAAATTAATAAGTTAATAAACTAAGTGTAATTACATTATTTGCAAACTATATATATAATAGTTATATTACTTGCATTTTTTTCTGATACTTGGTGTACGTATTTCAAGAAAGAGATAATTAGACCGTGTTGATTTAGAAACGCGAGCAAAACCGAATAAAATACGCTTCTACTCGTCGGCGAGTTAAACAATCTTCGTAGAAATATGTGAGAATCGTTTTTTAATCATAGTTTAGAACCATACTGTCTCTCACTTTGCCGGATTTGACACAGCCTTATTTTTAGTATTTATATGCTATCAAGAGAGATCGCGATAGCCAGTTTAAAAAGCACGAATGCATGGTTCCATTACACAGTACATCTCGGTTTCTATATGTAAGTTTGTTCAATGGATCAAACACGTTTAAACGGACATATAGAAATATTGATACTTTACTCGCTTATCGGGAAAAAGTAGTTACGGGCTAAGTAGCTCGTTCGTACACCTGTTCGAATACAGTAATGTAATTTTTTCACGATCGCGCTTACAACACTCTTAATATATTCGACACATCGTTAACTATTCAACAGATCATCGAGAGTATAATCGTTTCACGATATTTCCATTGAGTGAAATGAGAATCTGTATATAAGTAGTTCTATTAGCTTCATATTTTTTTTTCAAGACACTAATGATAAATCATTTTTCGCCTACGAGTCCGCAACTGAAATCAAGTATGGTAATTATGTTCTCATTAATCTACAAATCGACACAGACGCCTCTAATGCAATATTTCCTTTTGCTTTGACAACTTAGTTAAATCTATAGAATAAGTACAAATGTTTAGAGAAACAGAGTAAATCTGGTATTCTATAAAAGGCTTTAATGTAGAACCTCATGAGATAAAGCACGGAGCGTTTATGTGTAGTTGTTTGCGATACACATTCGAATTCAAAGCTAGTCTTTTGTTCTCGATCACAGCCACTGAACAGCAACAGAAACGCTTGTAGTACTTTCACATGCTTTTGCATGCTTTCCTACAATCTTTTTATTTCTTGGGGGCGCCTGATAACGAGTAAATTTGCACAATCTAGTTAATGTGAAAACAATGTAGAGCCGATAATAGCTGCATTATCACGCGTTAGACAGGTTGTTGGTGGAGAAATATCTGTGCGAAATCATATTAAACTGCAATATAAAATAGTGCCTACACAACCAAGTTTCTTGATGTTTTACATGGGAGACGTCATCCTGATATTTCGGTATCCTAATCCCGTCTTAAGAAAACTGTATCAATAACAAAAAATAGGGTAAACAGTACCACAATGTGTCGTAATAAATTGACTGAAATATATTGTTATTCGCAAAATATAAAAATTTATTGACAAATTTCCCCTCATTTGTAAGACATTTTTTAAATTTAAATTTAACAATTTAAAAAGAAAATAAATGTTGAAATATCCGTATAAATTTTTCTGAAGCTACAAGGACACGAAATTATTATAGTGTACGTAAAAAATCATAAATGTTTGGCCTTCGTGAAGCAAGAGCCAATATGGTAATCATTCAAGGTAGTCTTCTACGATACTTCCTATGTCCTTCTGTGCCCATAAACTGCGCCAGTGCTATTCTGTAGCTGTACTGTTTGCCCTATTATCGTTGCGTTTCGCAACTAAAATTTTCCATCGTCGTCGATATATTTCATATTGATCAGCGATTGCTATCTACGTGTCCTAAAATCTACATTGATACTTTGATCGCACGTAATGGCTCTTATGTGCTTCTTAAACTTCGGATGATTCGTTTCATGTTAAAATATCGTGTCAAATCTATATCAGAAAGTAAAGCTGCGCTTTACATATCATACTTTCTAATATCACCGTGGTAAGAAATTAACCTATAGTTAAAATAAGTTTCTATATATGTACACGTATGTATGTACAACACGGGCGCGTACGTATGTTGCATCACGCATGATTAGACAGATTTGTTAGCGAGACCTATTCATTTTTACGTTAATATCTGTACTTTAATACATTCGTTGTACTGAATCAGATTAATTTCTTACCTGAACGCGCTTAAACTCTAGCTGACGAGTACAGATTATCAAATTGTACAGATTACCAAATATACAAGGAACTCAGTAAAAATGATTTGAGATTATTACACTTCCACGACAACTAACAAAACTGACAAACAAGCTGTGAAGCGGTGTCTTCAGCGCTCAAGATTCTCAGTGAAAATAAGGAAAATGATGAAAAACTCTAGGATTCGCATTTATACCGCAATGCTTCAAACGAATATAAAGAATATATATGAGAAAATGATTACCTGGCTTTGTATTTATAATATTCCTCGCGCTTTTACGAACAACTCGCAATTCTCTTTCTCGCTTTCTCTTTCTGTTTCTCTATGATTAAAACGCCATCAAATCATTATTAATGTCGAATTATTGTACTGTGCATTCCTACCCATGGTATTTACAAAAATATGCGTTGCATAAGTACTACAAAGTACCTATATCATCGTAGCGGCACTTTAATCTTCTCTGCATGCCAGTTGCAGTTGCACTTGACTATTTGCACAAAATTTTATAATTTGTTAATTGCACATCTTGGATATATTACCACTGCTTATTAGTCGGGCTTATAGATTGGAATCTTTGGAATAAATTCAATTAAAAGAACCTGCAAAACACAAGACAAAGAAAAACAGTCAATATCATGGAAATTGTGCGGAAGCTTATTTTATCTCATAATTTCTTACATATTCCATCATGGACGAGCTATCGCATCTTTGTTTCGCCAATCTCCAATGTAACCCCAGTTTATGATAGAGCCTACTGTTCTCCCATTCTAATAATTTGTTTAACGAGTGTTGAGTCTGCGGAAAAAGTAGTGCACATGTTAGCGCTTTGTATATAAATTTTAATGCTCAGTTGTAATTAGAAACATTGTAGAACTCAATTAAACTTTCTTTCGATCAACAATTATATCATACCCTCTTGCTCAAACAAATGACAGGCCACAGAGAACATCCTAGGGTACAGCAGCAGCACACACAACCGCAGAATAACCACTTAACATTAACGGGTAAAGTCTTTTTCAACACACTATTTATTCTCATAACGGTTGCTTTAAACTCTTCTGGAGCCACACGGGACATGAGGCCGTTGGGAAATTCCGATTCGAAGCGATTACTGAGACCAAATCTAAAATGAAAATTTAAATATGTTAATAATATCCTTTTGATGTCGTCGATTTATAATTAAAATTACGTTTGACGTTTGACAGTAAGATTTGGTGTCAAAATTTTTTCAAACAAAGCCATCTGCGATGTATGCTTCTTTTATATTAACATATGAAAAGAGGCATAGATTCATTCAATCTTGAAGAATAAAAATTTGACTTGGAAGTAAATTTAATTAAACAAAAATAAATATATAATTTCCATTATGTGTACGTTAATATGAAAGAATAATCAATGTTATTCCAAATAAAAAATCCTTCAAAGTCAAAGAAGATATTAAAAGCACAACACTGCTTTGAATAAATCATGTGCATAAACAACTTTTTGCCAGATGTAAGTGCAATTTATGATAAACATCTTCTGCATCTCTATAGTGTACGATTAAAGATGCATGTAAACATTATATATGCGACACACAGTCTTTACCAGGCATGTGTACACGTCTGATGCTTGTTTTATTTTTTTATTCGGATAAAAATACTCCTCCAGCTGCGAGGTAGGTGGATATAATGATATACAATTCCATTATACGGAACGGGTGCGCGATTGCTGAATATTCATTTGTCTTTACGGAAAACTTGTGCCGCGTGCGTTTCAAGTGTATCAACAACATGCATCACGCACAGCGCAAAACGTCAAAAGTAATGAAATCAGCAGAAGTGGCTTTGTTTGTCCCCCTTTGTGTGAGCGCGCGAGACCGTCCCCCAACAACAAAGAGCTCTCGGTCTCTCTCTCTTTCTCTCCTTCTTTCGCGCGCGTATCGCCGTGTGTATCACGCTTGTTGGTACTTACACCGTCATATTGCCAGCCCCGCGAATCACAATTGGGTCCGGTACCATCGCGACGTAGTGCTCTTCCAAATTCTGCTCATTTTCCTCCTCCTCCTCGTAGATCGCGTCGAAATCCGCCATCGCGCGTTGCGGATCCACCGCGCTTCGCCGCGAACGTGGTGCGTTGGTGGTATCAGCGTAGCGACGACGTACTACGACGACGTGCTGCGTGCACGCCTCCTTCTCTCGCACTGGGGCCAGGACAGGACAACGACGCGCGTTCGCGGACGCGACGCTCTCGCGAGCGGCGCTCCTCGCTCACATCCCCGCCGCGATGGGCTTCCGGCGCGTCGTCACGCACGTCCCGTCGCGATCACCGCGTGCCATGACCATCACCGCGGTCACCGAGACCTGGCCAGATCAGCTGCCGCTAAGCTCCTACCTGACAACAATGACAACGCGACGGCGACGAGATACTGTCGCGATACTGTCCTCGCACGCTTCACAACGCTGCACGACCGCACCATGCACGACGCGCACTGCGGATGCGATTGGTTGCGATGTGTGTACCGCTTACAGCTCATCAATTTTTTTTCCTTATTGCGATTTCAGGCCTGCCAACAGTATAGCACCACAATTCACAACCACGTGTGTGCGCGTTGTGTGTCAGCATTGCTCCGATTTAAATAGTTCGAGCGGTGAGATTTAAATGGCATTGAAGGAAAGACATCGACGATATTCTTTTTTTTTCCTTTTTTCTTTCTTTATAGAATATCTTCGTATTGCTTGAAAAAGATGCAGAGATATTCTATATTTTTCAACTTTTTTCTTCACTAAAATCTGACTGCGATTATGGAAAATAATATAGCAATTTAGCTGTGAAATTTTTCCTTTGTCCTCTGAAAAAAATTAGTATTAGAAAAAAATTCTTTTATTTCATAAATATATATATATATATCAGCGACACAACTTCTTTCGAGTCAGCTGTTTTTTTTATCAAACTCCAATTTTTTGAAGTTCTTTTCCTTCTATAAAAAAAAATAATTTGTCCGCTTTTGAGAACACGCGCTCTCTTGAATAGATATGAAAGCACTTCTCCTTATCTCCTTTTTAATATAGTATATTTCAGTTTTTAATTTTTTAAAGTTATCGTAACAAATGATATTCCATATCGTCAAATTATTGTCCATGAGATAAAGGCTGGCATTCTTAGCTAAACTTCGTAAGAGCCAAGAATAACAAGAAAACGTAAATGAGTGACGATAACTAACTGTAAAACTCCAGTATATACAACAAATTATTTCGCGGTGACACAGCGAGACAAGCGAGAAAGTTGAAAGATTCCAAATCAATTCAGCTGCTACGGGAATTGAAATAATTATCTTCTTTTTAATTACAATATCGATTACAATAAAAAAGCAATAATAGATGGATTTTATGTGGGAAATAACACTTGTAAATTAATTCTAAAGTAATTTATAATTATTATTGATTAACTATTAGTTATTCTGTTATTAATTAATTCTTAACTACTGATTGTTGCGTTCAACTTCTTTAAAGACTCCGAGAAAGTTAAACTAATATAAATGAATTAATCTAAATAACAAATAATTAATTTGAATAAAAATTTATATAAAAATTGAATTCAATTAAGTTTCTTCACAAATGTAAGATTTATTTCTGCTACTTTAAAAAAAAGATTAGATCACTTACTTTTTAGTTTCACTGTTGCAATAATAATGGAAATTAGTGCGTGAAAGTAGATGTGAAGTCAATTGAACTGAACAATAAAACAATAAATATTTTGGATATAACTCTAAAGAATTGTTTCGAAAAAAATACTACATAACATCATCAATTGTTTTTATATAATTTTTAAAATTCTGCTTTTGATATTGTTCCATAACATTACATTACATAAGTTTCGAAACTACTGGCGTAAATTACTTCCTGCTTGTTACAAATGTTATGGAATCTTTATATCAATAGAGATCAATAGAGATTTAAATTATAAAATAACATGCAGAAAAATTCATTTAGTTTTAATGTGGTTTAATTTACCAGGCTATTTGCACTTTCCAAAGCAGAACCTAATGACATTGCGCAACATCAGAGAAAGGAGGATTGGATTAATCCGATCGGATCAGTTATGAAATTTATACGCGCACAAATAGAACAGAAATTCGTTCAATCTGAATGCGACATGAGGATCTCTTGTTAAAATATCAAACGATCAATCATACCGCTCGCATGCGTTACGTCTCGCAAATCGTCCATGCAAAAATGCTCTCAAGCTATTACGCGACTTCAAGCGCATTTCAATCAGAGTGCAACGACCACTCGACTGGAAACTGCGGAACTGTCAGGAGCGCAATAGAATGATTGCTAATCAATTCGACGCAATGATTGGGATTAAGAAAAACGGCGACGCGTTCTCTCCGGGCGATGCACTAATTCGCCTCGAATTTCGTAAAGCCAAGATACTATAATTATTATGCAATAAAATATAATATATTTTTAGTAAAAATACAGCAAAAAAAACAAGAAATGTATTTAAGGAATTGTACTCTATTCAATTCGTTATTTATATTCGAATTTGCGCAATAGTAGTAACAATAATCGATTATTTTTATGACTTGACGGAAAGGTAAAGCCAGCGTTAGGACCAACTCTTGTTTCTTCCACAAGTGGTTTCGCGCAAATGATTTCTTCGCACTGAATTATATCTGACTGACTAAATTATAAATAGCAGTGAAATGCGGAGATTTTCGTTAGTTCGCTATGGATTCTTCGAGTGCAAGGACTTTCATGTTTTTCCTGATTACTTTGACGTTGTGCGAAAATGTTCGTCCTCAGTCACAGCCGCAAAATTTTAAAAAGATTACTATTGATGTTAATAATGGTATCATTACCATCAATGACCAGTTCGTCGTGTCGAATAGTAAGTGTAAGCAAAACTCATAATTAACCGATAATTAACAAATTCGTAAGTGACAATTTTTATTATCTCGTTAATATTTGATTATTTCAAATTCTATTAAAATCATAAAATTCTATATTATCATAAAATATTGTTAAAAAATTTGTTAATAAATCTGAAAAAAAATAAATTTTAGTAATCTGAAAATGAAAATAAATCATATATAATATTATCATCATTGAAATATTGCTATAAAATTTGTCATAAATTTAAAATAATTTTTAGTAAACCTGAAAATCAAAATAAATTGTATATAATGCTTTCATCTAAAATATACACATTAAAAAACTTCTTAATAAATCTAAAATTAATCTTATTGTTAGTAAATTCAAAATCATATATAATGCTATCATCTAAAATTATTAAAAAATTTGTTAATAAATCTAAAAAAAAATTTTTTAGTAAACCTGAAAATTAAAATAAATCATATATAATTTTTGTGTGCTAATTTTTCGCGGGATGTTTAGCTCGGCTCAGTTACTGCTATCGATATCCCGAATCAATATGGTCTACAATGTGTTAACTATTATGCGCTAAATCTTATATCATAGATCCATTATCTTAATAATAAAGATAAATTAAACTTACTCACCGATCGATGCGTAGCAGCGGAGTTGTCGTGTTGATCTGCATAGTCGATCTGTAAAATATAAAAGTAAATCAGATTAGAATTGTATTCAAAATAATTAATATTTGTAAAATTACAACTGCGTACAAACTTTTGATTCATTTATCTAAGCAAATACTAATTAAAAAAATTTAATAATTTGAAAAAATAATAAACATGTAAAAAATGTCTAATAATGATGAATATTAACTAATGTAAATAGTTTACCGAATATTTTAAGTCTTTTAAATACTTTAATGTGCAACATTTTCAAACAACAAATAATAAATAAATTATAACTCACCGTAAAGTTGCTCCGCCGGCGCCTAATGCTCCTCCTGAGCCTCCTCCTCCTCTCAGTCCTTGCAGTTTTTCAAGGCACTCACGGCACTCACACGGCATTGAACGCGTTCGCGATCATGCTCGCATTGCTCGCAAGCACTCGAATACGAAAATCGCACGACACTTTAAACGGCACTCCCGACGTCGCAGGCGAATCGATCCAAATTGTCCAAGATGCGACGTTACGCGCGATTCCCGTCCGCGTTTCAGATGACCGCATTTACCAACTGGGGCGCGATTATCTCAAAGCAGAGGATATAAGCTCGTGGAAGGCAAGGTGCGATTAGTCACGAGGTCAACCGGATACCGGGTATCTCAGCAGCATTTCGATGCCAATATCGACGGACTCAAGTCAACATGCTGACTTCTACACCGTGATTCATATGATTTTTAAAGTTTTTTAAAGTTACTATCATGCATATCATGCAGTCACGCTTTTTTGAGCATGCAAAAGGCAACATAAATCATGCATCATGCATCATATGTTGGTACGTCTGAAAGACTTCAGTCGGGACTCATAATAAAAATCGATCCTTTCCTTCTTTGAGCCGAATCCAAAGTCGAGAAGAAAGAATCCCTCGAAGAGGGATTAAATCGTGTCCCAATATTTATCATTCGCAAAAATACGTTCATCCATACGATTCGCTAAAATGCGGCGTTTCGTATTCGCGCGAAACTATCACGGCACTCCCGGCATAACGGCACTCCCGACGCGTGTTTTATTATATTACGAAATTATGGCGGAACGAATCGAGGCGCGAAGAGTTCGGGTACGTTAGCTTCCCCTTCAGGATAAATCATCCGGGTACTGAGCCCTCCCACCACGACAAGGTGTACCCATGGAAGGGGTAATTAGAATGTTAATATTAACATTAGAGATACAATATTAACAATATTTGTTTTGTTGTTAAAAAGCCAAACAAATGGAGAGGATAGCCGGTGGGAGTTACGCGAATGAAGGTGAATTTCCGTTTATGGCTGTCGTGCATCGATTGATTGACGGTAGAAGGGTCTCTCAATGCGGCGGTACCATCATATCGAAGAGATGGGTGCTGACTGCGGCACACTGTATCGCAAAGTACCCGCAAAGATTCTTCGTCATATTCGGCATCGTTGACAAGACGGGGATCGGTTATGATGTCAACAGAGGATCCGGAGTGTCGATGATGACCTCACAGGCTTATGTGCACCCTAATTATTTTGTCAGCAAGAACGACATTGGATTGTTACGTATGCCGCGAGATATTCCTTTTTCAGGCAAGAAAAATCAAGAGTCCATTAACAATATCTACATGATTTTTTACCAAAGTGTAAAAAATAAAATTTCTCTCGACAACGTTTTATTTTAGAAAATATTCGACCGATACATTTAGCCGGTCGGAAGAAAAGCAGAGTTTTGGCCGACACAATGGCTTGTGTGGTTGGATGGGGCCGCGATGGATTCGGTCCTAAAGGTACCATGAGGTTGAAGTACACTATAATGCCGTTGATTTCGAAACACGAGTGCCTTGCGTATTGGAGAGTGGATTATAGAAATATATGCACGGAACCGGGTCTTGGGAAAAATGCCTGTCAGGTAATGTCCGGAGTTAAAGTTTTGAGATAAAAAAAATCCAATTTTCTTCGGAAAAATATATGAAAGTTTTTTATTATCTTTAGGGTGACAGTGGAGGTCCTCTTTTTATAATGCGAAACAATCGGCCGCTGCAGATCGGTATCGTAAGCTACGGAGACGCGAATTGTCCAAGCGGCAGACCCGGCGTGTATACTAGAGTAGCGGCGTTCGCAGAGTGGATTCGATATGTCACTGGAATGAAGTTTTAGAAGAATTTATCAATAAACTAAACCATGAAAATGTTGCGCTTTCCCTTAATTTTTAATTCTAGAATTTTTATGATCACCAGCACGTGTATTATTTTATTTATTTATTTTTTTTAATTATAGTTGATCTTCTCTTACATTTTTTTTCTTTTCTCTATTATTCATATATTGTTAGCTAGAGAGTTTAATTTTCGAATCGCTTTTATTTGTATTGTGTCGTTATCTGTTGAGCAGCTTGCTTGTAAGATAGTTTTCTTACCAAAACATGATAAGATAGATTTCAGATATTTATAATAATAATATAAGAAAAATATTAAAATGCTGCAAATAATTATTAAAGATTCTATAAAGAGATATTTTATTTTAAAAAATGTAATTAAATTTTTATCAACTGTTAAATCACTCTTAGTTCTTGGATTAAACGTACGATGGCGATATTGCATCAATACTTTATTTGCATACTGTGTAAATTTTATGCTATATTATTATTATTATTATTCTATAAAAATATGCAGTAACATTATCTATATCGTTGTTTCGTGAATATTATGATTATTTATTAGTACAATATTATAAATATGAGAGTATTTGTAAACAACTTGCTCTTTCAAATACATAAAAGCAACTTACAGATTAGAATTGCTTTTTTTCTTTTATTTTATTTTACTAGAAAACATTGATTAAAATTTGCACATGAGCTTGAACATGATAGAGCAATATATAAAATATAGAAATATATCACGAGTAACGATACGATATTACGCAAAATCACGTCGCCTTTTTGCGAAACGCGGATCATCGTGTCGCATTATTCGGCAGCGTGTAACGTATGCAGCGGAATGCATATCATATTTCCGAGCGTAACTGTGCTCCTCGGACGTGTACATAGTAATCACGGACGTACGGTACAGTTAAAATGTGATTAAAGCGGTTACGGATGAGAGTTGGCGCGATTGCGACGCCGATAAAAATCGCGGCGAAACAGAGGCGAGGAAAGGTGATGAGATACGATTTATAATTGTCCGGCGTAAATGCAGAACGGAGTTGCTTGCCCGGACAGCTATTACCGCAAAGCCGTAGCGGGCACGCCGGAGGTTTCTTCTTAGGGTTTTAACCGACCGCCTCGGTGACGATCCGACGAGATTGCAGCTTTTCGAATGCACCGGTGCAACGCGCGGAAACGCGGAGGAAGCTTTTCATTTCGTGCCGAGAAAAAAAACCATGTGAATAATAAAATTTGGAAATTTCTTTTTTCCGATTCTTCGCGAACCGGAATTCTATAATTTAAGAAATGCAACTGAGTAAACAAAACACAAACGAGAAACACGAAACGCATATATAAAGATAACTTTGCAAAAAATTAAAATAATTTCTTACTAATATTTACTTTTAAATATTGAAGAAAAGAGATAAGAGATAAAATACGATATCAATGTAAAAAAATATAGAAATAAGAGTTATTAATTAAAAACTTCTTTGCTTTTCTTCTATCTATCACTGAATGAATTTATTAGAATGATATTACGTATCGCATAGTTGCATATTTTTAAATGTTATATTTTGTGTTACCATTTATTAGCAATTTGCAGAAATTATAATTAGAATATTACATCGCGTTCGTCATGTTGTCCTATATTCTCTAAAATAACTTATAATTTACGATAATATTGGCCTAGTGTAATTTAGCGCAGAGGGTGGATCTTCTTTCTTGGCACACAAAAGGTTCTGTTGCTTTGTACTTATAAAGAATTGTTCCAGCCGAACACTGGGTTAATTCTGTTGATAATAAGCACGCTTTTATGTACCGGCAGACATAGCATTTTTATACATTTTTACACGCCAATTTTACGGTCTGCTGAAGCGGCTGTATGATGCAGCCATGGCAATCCGACCATTCTTCAGCTCGTCTTTCACGAATTCGTACAAAAATTGCGTCGTGAGAGATTTCGTAAAATTCGTTTGTATTTCATTGCTCGAATTGTATTAAAAAAAACTTATTAGCGTTTTTATTAATTGTTGTGGTTAATAAAAGTTTTGAATCGTGTCGCTGTATTATAAATCAGATAAGAATGCAGATAGGATCAATTTGTGTACAAAATATGCATGAAACGTTACAAAATATAATGGCATCAATTATAATATAATATCTGTATCTAAATGTCTGTTATATACATAAACACGTTCTCGCAGCGAAAGCAGCCGGTCACGATTTAACATCGCTCATTAACCCTGCTAATAGCCTACATCATCAGGAAATCGATTTCATCTTAATCTTAACACCGTCTCTTCCGCGATACATTATTATATCCTAAAAACAAATTATGAGAAATAATTAAACTTAATTCTGTGACTAAAAAAACATTATTATTCGCATTATGCATTCGTATATTGAACGTAGAATCTCGAATTATCTAATTTTTCTTGGTTTTAATAGATGTGAAATCAAAATTGGCACAAAAATTACAAGCATAAGATTTTATTTGACAGATATGCAAAATCTCGAAACAAAATCGCAAAATTTGGAAAATATGTAGAATAATATTCCGAAAAAACAATCCCAAAATTTAAAAGGCAAAATCAAATATTTTTCCGAAATATTCAAAAGTAGACAAAATCCTGAAAAAATCAAATTTTTTCAGATAAATGAGTGAATTCTCAACAATCTGAAATGGAATAACATTTCATTCGTAGCAGCCGTTTCTGCGCTAAATCTTCAAACATTAACACTATTGTCGTATTCCATAAGCCTGTCGTAGATAAACACGGGTACGCGGGCGCGTCTTCCTTTTCTTTCACGTTATAGAGGGGGTTAAAAAGACGGCGATTAGTCAAGCGAAATCGTCCATCGCGTCTGAACATACGAGGAACACATGCGACTTGAGTTACGCGGCACCTCTCGAAATAGAGTGAGAGAGAAAGAGAGAACGAGAGAAGGAGAGGCAGGGGAAGTCGACGAGACCGAAAGTACCGACTCGACATTCTTTTCGGCTAACCGCCTACTTAATTAAAACAACATTAAGCCGGCCGGCTTGCGCCGAGAACGACGCTGTCCATGGACCGTGCAACAGACAGACGAAACGAGAAAGAGTTGCGGCGAAACGCGAATGGGTGGGAGGGAGGGCAGTCGCAAGGCGGCTTTTAAATCTCGACTGCAACTGCTGCTGCTGCTGCTGCTGCTGCCGCCGTTGCTCGCTCTGTATCGACTCGCAAGGCCCGCGCCGCTTATTAAATTAACTATGTCCAATCGATTCGTAGATTTTGTAGAATCACAAATTCAGGGATTCGGGAAAGGCGGGACGCGGTCGTCCAAAGGACTCCTCGGCGCGTTTTCTTTTAATGAGGACGTTATGGAACGCGAAGCTCTTTCTTCTTTCCTTTTTCATTTCGTTATTGTGATATCGAAATTTATACGCGGCGTGTCGTAAGTTAGGCGGCTTATTAATTTACGCGCACCTGTCTACGCACTGGGCAAGCATGTCACATTTGTTATTAGAATTTGGCAACGTTTTGCCATGTGTCATGAAGCTTCTACACTTCGGTTAGTTGTCGGACCGTTAACTATCGCTGGTTACTTAACGCGGAACATTGTCGTACGCGCGAAATGCCAGGAAGCCGTGGTAAAAACGACGGGAAAACAAGTTTGTTAAATCGCGTATCAACATCACGAGAGCCACAAGAATTATGCTGCAATTTATTTATCATTTGGCATTCACTCAAGGGATTACTGCCAGAAGCGTTGTGTTAAATCATGTAATTATTAGAGATAGGTTTGAGTAATGCAGTTTCATTAGCAACGCGGATGTTTTCGTGACGGGGGCATAATTAATTAAATTTTTCAAAATGCAACTAATTTCCGAAAATATATGACCGCGCATCCACATTTTATATTTATGATTAAACGCAGCCGTCCGATCGTAAATTTTGTGTTTCGTGAGAAAAAAGCGCATAAACGATGTTAGCTCGGACCGAGGATCAAACGGCCGCATTTAGCATTAAGAGCGAAAAAAGATGCGCGGACTACAACGTGCGCATTAAATGCGCGTGTACCTTTTGCAACGTATTTGCGAGAGCGGCCTTCACGGATTTCTTTGTCCGCTCACACCCCGAGCGGCGAAACTCGCGTCTAATTTACGCGCGGCGCGGCGCTCACAGCCTTTCGGTAGCGCTCGATTTCCCCGTTCAGGTGTCGCACACGTGGATGCATTTCCGCGAAAATCGAGCCGCCGGTCGCGTACCGTTTACCGCCGTGCGTATCGCGAGCGGTAATGGGCTAACAACACGGCTCTCGCTCTCGAAATAGCGAGCACATGAGGCTAGCCAATTAAATGCAATGGCAAGGGGCTCTCTTCACGGCCGTGACACTTAGCGGCCTTAAGTAGCGAGATTTAGAGGCGGCAGGTGCTCTCTCTGATACCGGGATAGAAAGAGAGAAAGAGAAAGGCCACCCTTCGTCCACCTCCACCCCACGCTCCCCCCCTCCCCCTCAGTTTGCAGTTTCATCCTGTTTCCCTGCCGGGCGCCCCGAGGAAAAACACGTGAATGCCTGCCGCCGCCGCCGCCGCCGCCGCCGCCGCCGCCGCTTTGGCAAGCACCGCCTCGCGTATTAATAATGAGCGCTTGACGCCGCGCCAAAGCCGAGCGAGCGCACAGCGCTTTCACGTCTCTCCGGAGAGCCGGAGAGCTGACGGCCGAACCGGATGAGGAATCTCGTCGGCGGTGTGCTCGCAGCCACGCGATGCGATGCGATGGGAAGCACGCGCGCGCGCGCGCGCGAACGGATCCCCGCCGTTCCTTCCTGATCATTTTATTCCGTGGGAATCGCGTTCTCGTAATTGAAGGGACAAGTGGACGAAGGCGCCTGTCTACCCGCGCGTCGCCGCATTCTTACGAAAATTGACTTGTCTCTGAAAGCGAATTATTATTTTCCATTTCGTCGGGCATTTAATGGAATGGTGGATCCTGGAGAAATTGACGGAGTCAGATTCCACTATTGTGATCACTGG